TTTTAAATTTTGTTTTCGATTTGTTAAGTCAACATGGCCGACATATGTTGGTGGTGAGCCGTCCCAATTTCAGATTTCAACAACAAGGGTAGTAAGTAGCATTTGTTTGGGCCACATTGCTAAGGGTAATTCGACCAGCTGTTGGGCTAACCGGTTTTATTGGTTAATTGTGTGTTTTTCGGGGAGGGTACATGGAACGTGGCCAGACAAAGACCTGCTTTGTATTTAGCATGATTAGGGCAACAATTGATAAGCCAGTTGACCAAATGACAGCAATGAACTTGCAATGCACAAAACAAAAGAGAGAGAGCTGATAAAAGAACTGACAAATGCGCAGTAATTTGTTAGATTCGTAGAAACACACAGATATACCTATATGGGGTGGGATTTGCGGAGTTACAAATCATACATGAGTTATGATTTACGAAGTGAGACGCGTGATGTGCATTAAAGAAAAGTAATTTGTCATGCAAACCAATTGGGATTGCGAGTCGAAAAGACAGCAGGAAATTGCAAGTACCTGTATACATTTATATATATATATGTATGTATGTATATACAAATATTTCTTTCGTTTTCTTCTCTCTCTGTGTTATTTTTGAATTTTTGCACCTGCCACCTACGTAGCTTGAGACGCCATGATGTTGCGCATGCCAAGTGGAATATATAAGTGGCAGACAGTGGAATATATAAAAAACAGCCAAGTGGCATGCAACAATGAGACAAACCCAAGAGCTGAAGATCAACAGCAGTAGTAGCAGCAGCAGCAACAACAACAGCTGTGAATTAGTTGCGCAGTCAAAGTCATCGAGTATGTGTGTGTGTGTGTGTGTGTGTAAAGTGAGCAGTTAGCTGCGCCAACTGTCGTCATTAGCGAGACGAAGGCATTGAGCATGCTAAATATGGTTTTACTGAAGTAAGCCGCCACAGTCGGCCACAAACTAGTACAAGTACCTCCTAGGCTGTCAATGCAGTCGCCGGCTTCGTCGGCATTGCAATTAAAACGAGTTGCACACACACACAACTACATATACACATATAGTACGTAGATACTGCACTTAATCTCGAAAAACTGTCAATGTTCTTATTAGAACGCATTTGTTAGGCGACTTAGAATGTGCACACATTTAAGGCTATCTAAGCAGTTTTCATTTTCATATTACAAACCAACATGGAACATGGCTACGCCTTAAACAAGCCGGCCTCACCTTTATTGCATACAATGTATACTTACATACATATATACATATGTATATATTACATATTCATACATATATTTTAAATTAATCGATTTCTTTATGAATTTGTTTTGCTAGTGCTTCCTTGTCATGACTAAACAGCGCAGCTTTATCAGCTGACCAAGCAAACTGTATATATAGTTGACAAATATGTAACACCTTTCGTTTTATCGTCATAAATATTAATAAACTCATACTATATACATGTATGTACATGTATGTATGTTTCTACGTGTGCTTCATATCGTTTACCTTCTTATGCGAAACTTCCCACCGAACACCATTTTTAGTTGCTCTATGGTATCCAATATTGTGAAATCCAATTTGAGTGGCACTCGAACTCACAAACACACACGAATACACAAATTAATGGCAGCCCCAGCTTTAACTTTAAAGTGAGCGCGTGCTGTTTCTTTTACTTATTTGTATTTTCGTATTTATATCTCGTATTTTTTTCGTTATTGTAATTTACAATTGTTGCTGTTGTTGGCGTCGTTATTTGTGCGAAATGTAAGCAGTAAGTGGTTTTTCGGCATGCTGTAAAACATTTGAGCTTGCGAACCTCCTAGTAACTTAATTTCAAATTTCAAAAGTATTGCATATTTCTCTAAATTTCAACAACAACCCGCACAATTCACAAATATTTGATATCGATTCATAAAATTAGTTTTGTTCAATTCCATGGGAAGGCGAGGTTTGCACACGCGAGGCCCTTCTTCGCTCTCTGGCCTGGTCTTCCAATTGGCAACGCTACAAAACTGCGCGTTGAAACGTCTGCACGCGTCAGCGGTTTTCACTCGTTTGAAGTTGTGGCCACGATATGCGAGCAAACAAAGCCGGCCCGGCCGCTAGTCAGCCAAGCGGCCCGCTGGCCAACTTCAAGAGAGCCACCAAAAAAGAGTGAGAGTGTAAGAAATGTGCATAGCTAAGAGAGTGCAGTGCATTGGAAAATTGATTCTCAAAACAGTTTTTTTTTCTTTGTAAGTTTTCAGCTATACTATTTGTCAAAGAAACTTTAATAGCTCTTAGCAATTATCATCATACTATGTATGTCCAATACATACATCTGGATGTTCACATACTTCATAATATTGGTATTGTTTATGTTAGTTTGCTCTTTCCATTTTTTCTCGCCCGCGCTCTTTACAATTGTTCATAGCACAACTATTCATAGCATACTTTTGTGCACACTGCTTAAGTGCACCGTTTATTGCATGCGCTTAAAAGTAGGCAGCACTTTTAATCTGCACACTCTGTTTTATTTCAATCGCGCCGGCTATAAATTGTATTGGCCAAATCACCTTTTGTGTTATTCAATTTGGCCATATTTCGCAACATTCTCAGCTCCAAAAAGTTCAATCGATCAATGCGCCAGTCGCGCTGTCGCACTGACGATATTTAGCTAACGATAGCGCCAAAATTATGGCAAACACTTTGTTAAATGTTGCACGACTGTCAATTGTTGTTTTTGTTTTGTATTGTTGTGTTGTTGTTATTGTTGTTATTGACAATTGTTGCCGCCTAATCACGTTGGCCGCATCGCAGTTGCCGCAAATTGAATTGTCGCGTCGTTAGACGTTTCCACAGGGAGTGAGTGTGTGTTTGTGTGTGAGTGTGAGTGAGAGAGAGGGAGAGGGAGAGAATGCATGTAGATTATTATCTCGTTCGCTTGGAGCCGGCACAACGTGGCGTATGAGTGATTTATTTGTTGGCCAGTGCACATACGACGCGTTGCCCACTTTGTTTCTGTTCTCCTTTTTGTTATATTTCTTTTTGCATTTGTTTTTATTTTTATTTATTTTTTTTGCTATTCAAGGCAAGAGTGCTTTGTGTGTGAAGCTGTGGCGTTAATTGTAAATAGTTTTACGGATTGCTGCAATCTCGTTGGCACTTAATTTGAAAATAATATGTTGGCGAGCTTAGATTTTTGTGCCCCTTTTTTGCAAGTTGCCAAATAGTTAGAAAATTAATTCAAATGTCTGCAATTGACGGGCGACCGTTGGGCACGCGCTGTTGCCGGCTGTGCGAAATCATAATTAGCGCTTGTCGTAGCCAAATGTCGAGACAAGCGAGCAACAGGCACATGGGCATGGACATGCCGGGGTCTCAATGACACACCTCAAAGCGTTGCCGGGCTACCGTAGGTGTTTCAAACACATTTTTTGGGCAACTGTTCAGTCAGCTGTCGTTTGCCTTCAGTTCTTGCTAGCTGTCTAATTGAACTTAAAATGACTTTGATTTGTACTCCAAGACCAACACATTTCTCAGGTGTGCACATAGCATATATTTATGTATATATGTGTCTGTTTGAGTATGTGTGTAATTTTTTGGATAATAATAGGATAATATAGGCGGGGTTTTGGCTGGTTCAATCAGTTCATGACCCAGCCCAAAACGAAATGCTCACACTGCCCTTTGCTCCATTTTTTGCACGCTCTGCAAAACTTTCAAAATGCAAATTAGGCACGTTTGCGTTGAACGGTGAACGGTAATGTTATACGGTATTTGAACCCGTTGACAGGGACAAGCCCATTTACAAGTTAGCGAGCGAAACTTGCCACAAATTGTGTCAATATTTGTCTCGTGTGGCACGGGGCCAGCCAAGAAGCCAGCCAACCAGCCAGCCATGCAGCTAGCGACAGGATGCTGCAACAAATCGTGCTGCAAAGGTCTGTGCCGGTGTCACATTGAGGTCTGAATGCAGTTTGGCTTTGTTCGTTTGCTAGTTTCTAGTTGCTGTCGCTGTCGTTGGCTCGTGTAAAATGCAGAAAAATGACAAGCTATAGAAATTATTGAGCTTGCCACCAGGCAGGCTTACTGGCTTACTGGATGGCTGGCATGCTGGCAGGCAGCACAGTTGCTCTATTTAGAGCCGTTCACAAGTTATCTAATGCTCACTTGCCTGAGCGCATGCCCGCACCCAGGCATACACTGTATGCCAAAAAATATGCGCCCGCAGCACCTAACAAGCGACATAAAGCGCTAATGAACCGCCAACGTTCATCTATCAATGTCAGCGCACAAGAATGGGCTTTTGTTGCAAACACACACACACACACACACACACATATGATCAGTATATAAATTTCGATTTCGAATTCGGCTCACTTTTACCCACAATCAGAACAAAGAACTCGAGAGGCAGGCCACTGGCCGAGTTATGTAATAGACAGCGACATGAAACCCACGCCATCGCATGGAACTCCAATAAATTGTTTGGTTTGGTGACACATTTACCTCAGGTGCGCGATTAGATTCGATTCGATTCGTTACGCTTGCTGGCGATTGGAATTGTGATTGCAATTGCGATTGGAATTGAAACTGGGATTTGGATTGGGATTGGGTCAAGACGCCAATAGCCAATGAGCAATGAGCAATGTGTCTGGGCACAAATAAAAACTGAAAGTTTTTGATTGCTGCTCATTGGACTATAATAATAATTTCATAATCCAATTAAGCAGTGCCGCATTAGACGACAGCTGATTGACAAGGAGAGCGCGCGCTTAGCAATTAAACTGTGGGTGAGTTTAAGCCAGACTTTTGGCCGACTGGGCAGCTACCGTGCCACGCACTCCATTCAAGCTTTCAAAGACATTGAGAGCATACTGAAGTTAATTGGATTTGATGTGGACGCAGTCTTAGCGCGCACTCCTAAGGTCAAGAACAAAAGCAACAGCTTCGGTAATAAAGGTGCGCCTGCGCTCTTGATTAATGACAATGGGCGTATGAGTAATAAATGCGATCTGAGCGCCAGATACTTACCGCTTCTGCTGATTGCTCTCCAGATTGTTAGCGATGACAATGTCGGCCGTGGGACGAGCGCGTGGCAGCAATGGTGGCGGCGAAAATACTCCGCCACTACCGCCGCTCTTCTCCAGCTGAGAATGCTCCATTATGGGAGGCGGATTGTGTGGTCGCTTGCGACTGTTCGTTATGTTTTTAGTGGGTGTTATCGATTTGGCGTTACTGCCATTGAGCAGCAGTTTGTGCGCCACCTTGTTGGTTTGCGGCTGCGCCGAGTTTCGCGAGGACTGCAAAGTGGTCAAATAAAGCAATCAGTTAAGTGCAATTAAAACAAGTGAGGACGCTTCAGTTCAGAATGGTAGACTGGAGCTAATTGGCTTAAGAAGCCTTCCCAGTATAATGTACATAGAAGAACCTTTGCTTTATAAAATAGATGCCATGATTGTTTCTTCCAGGCTGAGGAATACCGACGTGGAAACAAAAATTTCTATAAAGAAGAGTGGCTCTTTGAAACGGACAGACCTAAGAGGTCTACCCAAAACCACCAGCTATTTTTGGATAAGTAGATCGAGCTTAAGTTTAGGCAGCCGCTAGTATTAGTTTGACTAAAACCCCATTTATATCAATCCAAATCCTTAAACGTCTTACAAGGCACAAACATTTCAACTTACCTGTAGCAAAGTGGTCGGCTTCTTGGGCACCAGAGGCGGTACCTTAGGCAAGTGTGCGGGTGCCTGTGCTTCCGCCGGCGAGGATGTGTTACGTGTGTAGTTGGAGCGACGCGTTGAAGCGCCTGCAAAACTGTTGCGTCTATTAGGAGATGGGGGCGGCTTCGGCTGCAGCACTTCTGGTGGTGGGGGTGGTGGCAGCGGCTCGTCAAAGGTGTAGCTAGTATCCAGTTCATTGCTGGTGGGTGGCGGTGGCAATTCTGGTGATGGCACGCGCAAGTTGGGATTCTTAGGTGGCCGCTCAGGCACCCAGTTACTGGTTGCCGGAACCACAGGTGGGGGTTGCTGGTAGTAGGCGGCATGTCGCGTGACTTGAGCATGTTGTTGCGGATGATGTTGCTGGTGTGCCAGAGCCGCCACATGCTGCAGCAACATCTTCTCACGCATGGGCGCATATTCGGAGGCCGATGAGGTACGGCGCGTCGGTAAACTTACACGACCACGTGGCGGTGGCGGCGGTGGTGGCATGCCGCAATCGTTGAACGACTGTTTCTCGGCGCTTCCAACATTTTTGATGGCTGGCTGCTGCAGTTTGTCCTGTGAGGCACGTTGATATTGATCACGGAACTCGGCATAGTCTGAGGCAGATGAGGAGCGGCGCAGCAGATTGGGAAGCAGCGAGCGGGAGCGGGGTGGAGGCGGCGGTGGTGCCGGCGACGGAGGTTTAGCGTGCACCGGCGGCTTAAGGCTACAATCTAGGCGTGTCAGCTGCGTGGGTGAGCTCGCCGTAGTGGGTATACCCAACATTGGGCCTAGGTTATTGGGCAAAGACTTGCGCAACGCCTGCTGCTGTTGCTGGTGGTGCTCGAGACTGTCTCGAGTAGCATGCAGGGATTGGTAAGAGTGATTACGCAAGAGCTGCTGCTCGGCTGTTGTGAGCAGAATGTCCTTTTGCTGTTGCTGCTGGTGCTGCTGCCGTTCGAAGTAGGACTGCACGGCATTTTTTTGCAGCGCTTTCAGCGCAGGATTTGACAGGCGATGCGTCTTACTGGGCTCCAAATAGCTATATTTTTGCGCAGGTGGCGTTACTGGTGGAGTGGACAGATCCCCAACACTGCTGCGCTCGAAGTCATTGATGCGTTCCGCCACCGAGTGCCAAGTGGGCTGAACAGCGGCGCCCGCGGGCGTTATCACAGGTAATCTGAAAGTAGGAAGAGAAATCCAAATTAATTGATTCAATACCACAAATATCAACAAGGTATCATTACTTACTTGGTTTGTGGCAGCTTTGAGGACTTGGGCAGTCCGGCACTGTACTGCGGCTTCGGATGCAGCACATACTGTGAGGTGTTGTTGTGCACCGGTTCGGTATAGGTGCTGACGGGAAAGAGTCGATGGTTGCTGCGGTAGGAGTCCGTGTTGCCATTAGACGGCTGGCTCTGCGTCTCCACCACGCTGGCCACATTTGGCGCACTGCAGCTAAAAGCTTCCGTCTTGCTTAGCTGCGGCTTACTGGGTGGTGGCTGTGGTGCTATGGTTACCACCGCCTCACTGCTTGATATAGTTACTGAAATGCTTGATTTGTGCTGCTGCTGCTGCTGCTGCTGTATCTGCGACGCTCGTTGCTGCGACTGCGACTGCTGTTGCTGTTGCTGCTGCTGCTGTTGCTGTTGCAGATCACCCGTTGATTGTGACTGGCCCAGAGTTAGGCGACTTTCGGCATTCGAATGCTGAATGTCTGGTAAGGAACTTTGTGTGGCATCGAGACGCTTCAGCTGCGTCAGCTTGTGCGATTGCGGCTGATGCGAGGCCTGAAAGTGGTGCAGCACCATACTTGTGTGCACAGGCGGATAGCTGGGACTGTGACGATGCTGGGCGCGCATGGCCAGTGGCTGGCCACTACTGCTATTGCCACCATCGTCTGAGTTCTGTGACGCGTGCTTCCCTATCATTGTTGCTACAACATTGTCGCCAGGCGCCGTGTCGTTGTCGTGGAGGTAAAGCACACTCTCGCTGTGGTGTCGCTTCGGCGTCAGTACACGCGAGCTGTGCACAATTAGTTGCGAGGACGAGACTGTAAACAAATTAGGAGGATGGTGAAGTTCAGTGATAAGTCAATAAATCTTTGTTCTACTAAAGTACATATTGAAAAGCTTTAAACAAATGAAAGATGTTGCAAGAAAGAAGTTACTTTAAAAATTGCAAAGCACCTGAAAATTGTTTCTTATTTTGTAGTTGAAACTGTCCAATATTTCTTAAGTCATTCGCAAAGATGTGTTACCATCTCATTGATTTTTTGGCACTGTAATTGCTTAAGAACTTTCTACATTCTTACGGGCAATAAAAATAAAAATAAAGTTGTAATACAAGTCAAGATTCTGTATCCAAGTAAATGCACAATATGGAAGTGTCTAATAATTAAATAGTCACTGTAAGTAATAAAATATTTGTTTCTTAAGTTAAGTATTTTTGTGCTTTTTATAATTTTAAACAAACGCTTTATTTGTATCGTTTAAAGTGGAAGAAAGATGGCTGCAGAACCTATTGATCGTTCACTTATTGTCCGACTCTATTTTGTAAGATTTCCAATACAAATTCAACGGTCCTAATGTTTTCTCTACTTCCTATACACAGTTTTTCTTCAGAACATACCTGATTCGGCGATTGCACTGTAGCCGGTGACATGACTCGCTTCCGACACATCACTCATTGAGCCCAAACATTTGAGAGTCTCTGTCGATGAGGTGCTCTCGGAACTGTTGTGGTTGATCGGGCTCGTGTGGTTATGATGAAGACTATTCGTATCCCGTCCATTCAGACTGCTCAGCAGCGGTATGGGCGAGGGTGCGACGGAGTTGCTGCAAACTGATGAGAGATCGTTCTCGGACCAATGATGCGACTGCCGTGACAACAGGTCGCTCTCCTGACGTAATCTGCAAAAAAGCGTATAGTTGAGCGATAGGAGAGGGGGGCGACTAAGAATTTTGACGGCTGTCAATTGGCCAAATTGGCAACTCATTGCGTGCGGCCAAAATAGGCGATTGTGGTTCGCAGTTCGCGGTTAGCGGCTTAAGAAATTTCTGGTTTTCATGGCGTTTCCTCAATGTGAACCCAGACAAAGGCATGGCCAGTTGTAATTGCTTGTATTTCAGCTTAGCCTTCAAATTGTATTTCGATAGACAAACGGACTATAAAAGTGACTGACTGACTGACTGTCTGTCTGTCTGTCTGTCTGTCTGTCTGTCTGTCTTGAGAGTTGACTCTCTTCAAGCTTTACGAGTATTGCTCTGTATGTACATTTGAGAAGAAAAGCAAAAACGCGACATGAATTTTTCAAAGACCTTGAACGTTAAGCTAGTTTCGGTATTTTTCTTGTATAATTTTGTCTGCACTTTGTTTGCTTTACTAAGAATTTTTAATAAGTTGTTGTTGTCTTGTTGTGGTCATTGTACATATGAGGTGAAGTGGCAAATAAAAATCATAATTGTCGAGTGGCGGCGGCATTTGATACAACAGCAATGACAAAAATAACAACGATAACAACATTGCTCTAGCCACAAACGTGTTTTCGTGTTGCTTGTTGCTATTGTGGTTGTTGTTGTTGTTGTTGTTGCTGTTGTTGCTGTTGTGGCCACAAAGTCGAATAGACAAACCGACAGACAGTCAGTCGCTTCATATGTCGCTGGAACCATCAATATTCGAGTATGTACGGGTATGTAGTCGTTCACTTACTTGTCCAAGAATGGCGTCGTCGACGTCGAATCAGAACTGGACACATAACTGTGATAGCCTTCGGACTGTGCGTACGAAGCCTGCTTCTGATGATGGAACGTCTGATCGTAATAGGACGAGGCGCGTATATTGTATTCCTCAAGACCGGCCTGCGTCAGTCCGCACTGATCGTGTATGTCATCCTGTGAAGAGAATTGCAGCCAAGTTAGTAAAATTTAATCGCGTTCAGGCGGCGGGTGGACGAAGAATGAGCGGTTGGAAAAATGTGGCAAAAATACCACCAAGCACAAACAAATAAACACACACAAACACACACACACACGCACATGTACATAGTAGGCATGAAAAATGTCGTCGTTGTCGCCCGTCGCATCGTTTAAAATGTGGCACAACAGCAGCCAACTATGTACGAGTGCGCGAGGCTTCCGTGTGCTGCGTATCAGTTGTTGCAACTGCGTTGCGCGCCCCAAGCTTGCCGCTAGATTTATGTTGCACAGATTGATGTTGTGCGATAGACGGCGCCGTCATTGCCGCGTGCCAATTAATAACTTGCCGCACATTTAAATGCTTGGATGGTGAAAAGAAACTCCTACATATTCGTAGAGTTGTGCACATAATGGCCGTTAAATTGCCAAGCGCATAGATACATAATTACATAATATTTAGCAAGACAAGGCAGTGCGCGCACACAGTACGTATACGTAATAAAATGCGCTGCCATGGCCACATTTGAACTGCCGCATTAAAGTTCAGCCAGCCAGCCAGCGTTCAGGCCAGCCAGATAGCCGATTTCACTGCAATCGTCGAACTTAGAGCAGCAGCAGCAACAGCAAACATTGTTTAACAATTTAATCATTAGTTATGTGGGTATCTCTGGCCAAACAGAGATACAATATTTCTGCTGGGCATTTGCAAATGATCGCATAATAATTACGTTCATTGTGGTGCTGACTATGCGCTTGTCAAAAAGAAAAAATCAACAAAACAAACTCCCATTAAATTTTCCTTCTTTATAATTAATACACTAGCGCTGCTGAAAGGTATTATGACATTGTTATGATTTTTGTAACAAATCACTGTCCTTCTGTTCAGTTTTTTAATGAAGATTGGCGTGGAGAAAAAAACTGCATGCATATATGATGGGACTTTTGAAAGCTGATTTAAGATATGATATGTATATCTTATAAACAGATAAGGAGGACTTTATGAAATTTAAAAACTAGAGAACATAAATCAAATGCATTGTAGAAAAACTCAACCAATTTTTCTTTATTTTTAGTAATTTTTCTACTTTTTAAATATAATGTGAACAAACTAAACACCACTTTTACTTAATTGTTCTTAATTTCCATGTTACAAATAACATTATAGAGTGCACTGAAAAATGTTGAACTGTATTTTGTTAAAAACTGGTCTATTTGTGCTCTGCTACTCGTTCCTAATCTTAGCAAAAAGTACGGTGAAAAATTGGGTCATGCTTTTTTTGAATAATTTTTTCACCTATACAATATATTTGCTTCTCAAATTTATTAGCAAACATATAACCATTGATTGCTTTGCCCTTTCTCATCTGATTATAATGTGCTGATTAGAGCTAACTTTTGATATGCAAAATATATTTATTATCTTTCACACTTTTTCAAGAATAAAAGTTAATTTATTTCTATGCTATTGTGCCTAAGAGCAAACAAATAAAACTGTTTTTGGTTTCTATCCAAAGTTTGCATTCCAATTTTTCAAAACTGTGCTCATTTACCAGCATGGTTTTGAATAATTATAGTACATACAAGTATATATGTGATGGCGTTTATCTTAAAGTTAATGAAGAAAACTAGAAAATTTTCACAACTTGGTGGCTCTTGTAGATTAAAATTTATTTTAGAAGCATTTCATTCCGCATATTTTTCTTGTTTTGTCAATGAATATTTAAATTGAAATAATTTTGATAAAGAGTAAGAGATCTTCGAATAAGCGAAAGTAAAAAAGAAAATGCTTCTTGTCTGGTTTTTCTTATATTTCCCATGATCTGATGTTGTAGTGCAGCACGAATTGTAGCTGCAGATAAAGTTGTACGCTCATTAGATAATTAAGTGAAAATTAGTGAGAAAGGCAAACAACAGCCGACGGCCAGCGATTGGTGGCCGATAAGCGCGAGCCATGCCATAAATCCCACCGACAGCCCAATTGCCAACTGAATAATACGATATCAAAAAGTTGAAGTGCAGCCAACAAGGCAGTTGCTGCTTTATGTTTTGCGCAATGTGGCGGCGACGTTCAAAATCTGTTCAAAACATAACACACACAAGCAAGTACCCACCATGTGTGTGTGTGTGTGAGTATAAAAGTGTGTGTGTGTTTGCAACAAGGCAGTCAAACAGAGCGTCAATAATAAGCCATGTTAAGTAACTGCAGCCCGGCTGGGACGGCAGCAGCGGCATGCGTGGTATACGATATTTTGATGTTTGCGCTTTTGACTCATAAACGAAATCGAATCGTAAATAAAGCAAAAACATTAAATAAATGGAGGGGGAAAAAAGCCAAAATGTTGCGACCAAGCCTCTAAGCCACTTGCCTGACTCGAACCCACCGCCACTGCTGCAATCACAGAGGTTTTGGTGGCCGCCAGTGTTGTTACCAACTTGGTTGGCTTTGTTGTCGTCTCGACGTGGGCAGCTGTTGATTGTCTTTTTGACTTTGGCGCCACAAAATGTTTAATAAGAAATAAAACTAGCAATAACAAAAATCATAATCATATGACAGACAGTCTCAGCCAGCCTGACAAATGTTGACAAAGCGCAGTTAGCAGCATTTCTGGGTCAACTAGGCCTTGCCCTGATCGGCACCGCCTCACATGGCTGCTGTCGGCCCGAGGGCGCATCGTCGAGAGCTCAGCCACTAAATAATTTTAATGGTTTAAGCTGAATGTTCTATGCCATTTGGTGTTTTGTTGTTTGCTCGCTTGCTTGCTTGCTTGCTTGGTTCCCAAGCCAAATTTAAATCGTTCATTTATTTGACGTCCCACCGTCGCTGCCGTTGTTGTAGTCGTCGTGGCTTAAAGCCCATCAGTCATTCATTCAGTCAGTCAGTCAGTCAGTCAGTCAGTCACTCAGTTTTGTCTGCGCTGCTTTTTTCCTCTCTTGCCAATTGCCGTAATTATTTTGTCTCTCTAACACGAATTTAAATCAGCAACTGTCCCACGGCGCAATGGGCCCTTTACTTTTTGGACTAACACTCCTGGGCTAGAGACCCCAACTGCCTGACTTGTCTTGCTTGTCTTTTGTTTGGGATAAAAGAGTGGAAAACCTATAATTATTGACCACAACAGCTGGGCCATGAGGCCCATGTGAAATGGTACGCCGGATGAGCCGCCACACAATATATACTTGTATACTCGTACAGCATAGTACAAGTATATATACATACTCGTATATATCAATGGATCGGCATTAAAACTGGTGCAGTAGGTCAGCGCAGGCACTGTGGGGCGCTTTAATGGTCGTAATGGTCGTCTACAGGCAAGGCTGGGGAAAATGGCAGCGCGTTTTTAAATAAATCATTTAACTGACGTGCCAAGCAGCAGTTAAAGAACATTAAGTGTCAAGTTGCCTGCCTTTGGCTAGGCTAGAAAGAGATTTTTTGGTGGTAAGATATGACAGCTTGAATTTCACTTTAAATGCGCAGTCACTGGCACATTCCCCATTTCCCAAAACACCACCGCATTACTCAGTGGCATGCACACGCTATATCCATATGTACATATACATACACATACATACATATGTTTGTTTGTATGTATTATCAAAATAAATGTCAGCGCCTGACAAACGCTTGAGTCATTCATTCTTATACACTTGGCCAGTTCGTCGCACACTCACGCAAAAAATGTCCATCTAACCGAGCTTCCCTTCTCCCTCACCCACAGCCATTCATCTGTTTGTTTGTCTGTCCGTCTGTTTGTCTTTTTCCCCGCCTGTCCAGCTGTGCGTCTGTCATGTCTTGCATTTGTCTTCGTTTGTTTGCATTGCACCGCATTAGAGGCCCACTCCAAAAATTATTATTATATACATAAGTACATACATATACACACGTACACTCAAAAAATAACCAAAAATGTTGTTAAATTCAATTTGTAAAATTCCTTAAAATGCTAGTTAAAGTCCCATTATTTTGTGAATATTTTTAAATATAACTTTTTTCTGAAAATTAGGGAAATATTTCCTAAAATTAGACAATCTTTTATTAATATTTATTTTAAATTTAAGCCAATGCCCGCTACCCAAAGGATAAAAGGTTATACTACTTAGTTTATTGGAAATGTAGGTAACATATGTAGAGAGAATAACCTAACCCCGCAAAGAGTATATATTCTTGATTAGTATGTCAAAACGGAAACATTTTGGATAGTATAACAGCCGCAAGAACCAATACTTAGGAGTTGGTCAAAATCGACTTTAGCATTCCATTCATGTTTGTTGTTTGACTTACCATTATAATAAACTCACGATTTTCACAATTAATACATACAAGTAAGTGGTGTACTTTCCAATCAAGAAAATATCTTTATTCTAAACATTTTTAGACCGTTTAAAGTTTTAGTGCGATTTTCTAGAATTTAGGTAATGTATTTTTCGAAGTGCATATACATATGGATGTTTGTATGATAAGCCCGTAACCACCCACGCGGGCCCAACTTGACTTTTGCTTTATTATGATGGTTGTCACACACATACACACACACACACACCCGTCAACTCACTTCGCATGATTTGGCAATGTTTGCATTTGGCGCTTGTGGAATTCGCTGGCCAGAACACCGCAGCTCAAGACAAAACGCCCAACTGTCAGGAGTTGGCCATAAATATGGCACAAAGAAGAAAAAAATATATAAAAAAGGCTGCTGAAAGCCGAAATTATTTAAGATTTTCTCGTCGTTTGAGACAAGCTGGAAAATTTGCAACACCAACGCAGTCGTTGGTCGCCGCATTCTTGTCCAATAGAAAATCGGATATTGAATATCGGACGAGTGTTTTCCAGTGGCCAAGTTTATTGGCCATTTTCTATACGAACTTTTGACAAACGTGACGCGTCGCACTCATCTCAACAAAAAGTTCGTGACGAAATTTTTACTTTTGATTTTCGATTTGCGTTTTCCATTGTCATTGCAATTGTAGCCGCTGATTTT